GAGTGACCCCAGGCCCCAGCCGCTGCTTGTTGGGGCAGGAGTGAAGGTGGTCCTGGGAAGTGGGGAAGGATGAGGGGAAGGTGTTGTTTTAATTTCTTCTTGTTCCTTACTATCCAAACCTATTTTAACTGGCAATGAATTAGATTTCCCCCAGTCATGGCTGTTTTGCTTGTGATGGCAATTGCTGAGCAAGCTCCCTGTCTTTCTCTCCACCCAGGAGCTTTTTCAACCTGAGTTGTGCATGTCATGCTGCCAGATCCTTGAAGATTAAGGCAGCAGGCTGGATAAACACAGAGTGTGGGCTAGGTCCAGCTTGTAAACATAACGAGGTGCTTAGGGCCATGGTTTAGTGGTGGGATGGCAGTGTTAGGTTAACAGTTGGACTTGATGATCTTAAAAGTCTTTTCCAACCTAAAGAATTCTATGATTCTATGATTCTACTAGACATACATGCCTCCCAGTGATCCCAGCAATTCCAGATAAGGACTGTTCCTGCAGCACAGACCAGAGGTGAAAATTTTGCTTGAATTACTGCCAAAGGAGGACAGAAGAAGCAATTAAATTTATATTTTAAGTTCAAAGATCATTAAAAAGTTGTACTGCAAGGCATAGGAAACTAAAAGATTATTAAGTGAATAAATAAAAACAGCAAAATGAGACCTTGGTTTCTGACCTATTGCATGTTTCAGCTGCTTTTTCAACATCAAACTGATCTGAACTGTATGGGGGACAGATGGCCCACTCAGAAGTTCTTTACAGAGTCCATAGGATCCCTAAACTAGCACTGGAGAATTGTACTGATGTCAGTGAAATCATGGATGGTGAAGAGCTGGTATGCTGGAACCACTCCAAGCCAGTCTGCTCTGGAAAACCTATATACCAATCTCAAATCCAGCAGAACCTTTAATCATTTAATCATTGTCTGCACAACTCCCTGGGACCTCCAACACTCCCATCTCTTTCTCTCGTAATACTTTATTTGAATATTCACCTCCCTCTTAGTGTAATATTTTTTCCTTTTGTGAATTGTATCCCACTTTACTGCTTCTTGCCTACAGAACTGCCTCTTACTAGGCTCCTTTGTAGTACACGTCAGCTGCCGTAGTCACCTGCAGCCATTTGCAGTTCAGTATCATTTGTACATTTCATTAGCGCACTATTTCTTCTCTGTCTTCCAGATGCCAAATAGGCTGGACCAAACACTAATGCCTTCGGTAACCAATTCAACAAGTTCCTCATGCTCAATAGACTATTGTTTGTAATATCCCAGCCTTTGCTCACAATCTGTCAGCCTAATTTCAACCCACATAGCAATGTCATTAAACAAGACAGCAGTTTTGGTACAAAGAAGCCTAGAACTGTAAGAACAAAACACTTCCTCTCTTTAAGAGATGCTTTGTAGAAAACTAATAATGCTGCTGAAAAACATTTTTTGGTGTCCAAGAAAGGATATAAACTTCCCAACGTTAATATCACAAACAAAGTTAACAATTTTATGTACTGCCTCCACACCGCTGTAATCATGGGCAATAGATTTCTTCTAAGGGTGAGAATTATATTCCAATACCACAGGTAACACAGTGAAATGCATTAGAAACCACGAGACAGGAATTAAAACATCGATTGCACTATTCCATTCAGCCATTATGCCATTTTAATATTTTAACATTGAAAAGAAACATTTTTTTCTTAAGTGCAAACAACTTCTAAATTGCTTTTATTTTTTAATAGCTCTATAAGGTTCCTTAAAATTTCTTTTTCTTTTTTGTTAAATGTATAGCAAGAGGGGAAACTGTTTAATGAATGGTTAGACAGTAAGTTCCTCCCATGTCACAGGAATCTCTGTGCAATTACGCAATACATATACTCTGCTTTGCAGTTTCTGAGGTGGGCAGTTTCTGTGCTGAAATGATTATAAATTTAAGACAAAGCTAGATAGCAGCAATTTTGTGTAATGTACCTACCAATAGCTTTCAGTCTCAATATAAGTCCCTTCCCATGAGCAGTTTTTATTCTGTGTACATTGTTAGTCTGGTAACTTCTGATATCAATAAGGGAGTCTGTTCATAACCATATTGGTTAAGTGTGTTCTTTTAAAGTCAAAGAAAAAAGTCTCACGCTACTAAAACATCAGCTTTGCTTTACTTTACTTCAGGTTCACACCCACATGAAATCGTCACCACTCCATTCAATAAATACAGAAGTGGTATCTATGAGATTATACAACATTTTTTATTGCATCATTGCTCCATAATTTGTGATTAGAATTATATTTGGGGGTTAACATTATAAAATATAAGACATTAATAATGTTATTTAAGGTAGATGTAAAATTAATTAACGTGTTGAGTAATGTGATCTGCAAGGGAAAAAAGCCCAACAACATTATGAGGAGTAAGATCTGAACTTACTGGCTAAAGATTTCTTGGGTTTGTTTGGGTTTTTTTTTTTACGATTTGGGCACACGTCTGCTTGTCAAATGGCTTTCTGACTATATCTTAAAAGTAAAATGAGCAATTTATTAGAGTAGCCAGCACTTTACAAAACGTTATGGATTTTTTCTCCTATGCACTCTGAAATTAGTTGCAGGGCGTTTTTTTTCTATTATTATTTTATTTTACAGAAGTACTGGCACAGATCTTTTTAAACTGATGGGAAGATGTGAACAAATCAAATTCCCAAATGCCTATAAACTGACTTTCACTTAGCCTTGGGGTTTGTTTTTAAGACATGCTCAATTTTCAGTCACAGTTCTGTTCAATACTCTTAGCATACTGAGAAAAGAAGAGACATACTTTTCTTTCATCATTCAAGCTGGAATTCTTAATTGTATTTGCTAAAATTGCTTTACAAAGTAATGTTTGGTGCAATACTCTCAAAACATGAATAGTGAAAGGGGTCAATAGCATGTTTCAAGTTTCTTTAAGAGTCAGAAAAAAGCCCGATGTTACTATTTTATTAATCATGCAACATACACTTAGTCCTCATAAAATATTAATGTATATTGCTTCCTACATCAATAAAAAGTGTACTTTACACAAAGAAAGAAAACCTGCTGAAGAAAATGCTAGCTAAACTTGCTAAGCATTCTAACAATTATCATAAAAATGCTAGAAAAGAAAATACAGATATGTTAAGCAATCCTAAAATCTTCTTAAACCACACATTGTGCTTTCCTACAGAGAATTTTAAAATGAAAAATAGACCTTGAGGGTCTTAGACA